GAGAGAGAGAGAGAGAGAGAGAGAGAGAGAGAGAGAGAGAGAGAGCGAGAGAGAGAGAGAGAGAAACTGACGCTGTGATGAGGAGAAGTCGAATTTGGCGGATAAGAGTTCTCTCGCCCCTCTGCGGGTTTCCGTGGTTTGACCCGCCGTGGTGGTCCTGTCTGCAAGTGCCCTGGCTGGCACACAACCCATGATGCCCCCTCACAGGATGCCAGATCATGGCCTGTAGAAGCATTTTCTGTTTTTATAGACGCGTTGAGACTGGCGTCTTTTCATTGGTTGGTAAGGTAGCGCGTTCGGCGCTCGTAAAAACACACACGCACACGTTGCACTTCTTCGTCGTGGAACACCGTACATGAGCGGCGTTCCGGAAAAAAAAAACCGACGGTATTCGAAACGATACAAAATGCCGGACCATACCTGTAGCTTGGCGGTTACTACTTCTTCCCGCCTCTCCGACATGCCGACCCGCAGCTGAGCACGGTTGGTCTCTCTTCGTCGGTGTTCCTTGAAAGACGCAAGGACGGAAACGTAGCCCCAGCACCGTAGGTCGCTTTCTTGGCCCGCCAGCGCCGTGGTCAACAGCACCAGATCCTCCCGCCTGCGAAGTAGTTTCGGGAGCCGAGCGTGTCTAGGGTAACGGAGTCCTCCAGTGTTTTGGGAGAATAAATTGGACGGCAACAACGCGACGGTCGGTAACGCTAGTGCCACTGTTGACTACCGTATGCCGTTGTTCCTTGTTGTATTGATACTACAGTGTATGGTACAATGGTTTATGACCTTTGTTCATCACCTCTTCTCTACCACTGCTGTTCAAGGAAAAATGAGCACGTATCCGTTGTCATGCTTACCCCAAAACAAGGCGCTTCTGTCACACACCGCTAAAGGAGGAATACGAAGCGGATAGCCGCTGCAAAACCAAGGCACAAAACCGTTCAGGTCTCCCGGAAAAATCCCGCCGCACCTAGCTCCAAGTACCGTTCGGTTGGGGGGTTCCGTAGCGAGAGCAAAATTCTTTGTTTTCTTCCGCGCACGCGTGTGCCCCAGTGGCAAACTACTGCTGCTGGTGCCATGTGTGTGCAGCAGCCAAGGCGCGCCCCATCACCTTGAGGTTGTCGTGGCCTCCGCTTCCGCTACCGCCGCAGACAACGTTGCCTTGTACTTGGTCAGGCTCTCCCGCGCCTCGACGGCCTCGGGGTCGCCGCTAAGAGCCATCTTTACAGGGAGCATGGCCTGGGGGGCGGCGGGCGCGGGACGTATGTTCATGTTATTCTTGCGCCTCGCGAGTACTTCGGTTTGGTTGGCGCGGGAGGCATGCTTGTGCAATAATTGCATGTTTGTGCCTCAGACTGCATGTTATTTGTTGTCTAGTCTAACACGGAGACGGCGCATCCTCGGAGACGGGGGGCAGGATGGGATTAAGAAAAAAAAAGCAAGCAGCAGAGCAACAGATTGGTCTCTCGGTCGCTCCCGGGGTACTTGTAGTCTTGTGCAAGCACATGGCACGTATGTTTATGTCAAGAAGATTGTGGAGTTTCCAGTGGAAGAGTATTCCTAGAGGTTTCCTCGCACCCGAGGAGGGCCGAGGAAAGGTGCTGTGCATCGGGAACGACGGAAGGTACTGTAGAAATGTTGTCCTGTGAAGTGGCGCCTTCGAACGTGATTGTGTGGCCAGTGGTGGAAAATGGTGTCGTGGCGGCACGCTTGTTTGTCGGTGTTTCCCTGCAGGCCCTATCTATGAAAGCGGGAGAGAGATAGCCGACACAATGTACCGAAGTCTCGTGCCATTGAAGTACTTGAAGAGATTGTCCGCTCGTCTTCGGGATCAAAGTTCCCCGGCGGGCGAGCTCCGTCCGGCTACGTCATCGTCTCTTACCCGCGCCCCGGAAGCCCTCAGGAGAGAGAAAGACCGCGACACGGACGAGCTCACGGCCCTGTCACGACCAGCAGCCCCGCCTTCAGATGCTGTCGTCACTTGTTCTCTTACGGCAAGCTGGCGTGGAGATCGTACATGAAGGCCATCGTCGCGCAGGGACCCATCGGGCTCGGGGGGCGACGAAGGCTCCTTGGACGCAGCTCGTCCTTCGCCTTTGGAGAAATCCGCCATCCCGGCCCGTCGGACGGTTACCTTGGCCCCTTCCAAGAGCGACCCCAGCATGATGCCAACCCAGAGAGTGGGAGGGAGGGAGGCCGGAGGCCGGAGCGAGACCGTTCGGGGAACCCAGGAGTTGCGCCGCATTAAAAAAAAAAATGTGTCTCGGTACATCACGTCGCACGCGCCGGCGGTTGGCCGGCTTCAGCTTGCTGCTGCGCTGCGGGCGTCGTGTGTGAGGCGAACCGAGGTATGGGATTGTGCTGAATCGTGGTTCTGATATGTATATGAACTGACTCGGCTCACCCGCCGGCAAGTTTAAGTTTGCCACCTCTACCCTGTTACTTGTTACATCGTGCCTTCAGACCAAAACCTAAACCCCCAGACTGCTGTGTGTTGCGTGAGATTCCACACATCCTCAACCGATTTTCCAAGCCCCGGTTAGTACGCACCGCAACCAGCGGCTGTGCCGAAAATGGCGACGTTGGAACCCTCTCGCCGAGAGCTTTCCGAAATGTATCATTAGATGTTGGCGTCCTCTTCGTCGTGGAGTAATCGAGCTATGAAAATCGGTCCACGTGGTGTGGTATCTTCCGTACACATCCTCCGGTAAAAGCTCTCCTGTTTGACTTGTGATGACTGCGGTCACAGCGCGTCGATCAATAGGTGCAATTCATTGATGTACACCACCTCATGTACAGTAGTCTAGCAGTTCGTCATGCCGTGTGTATTTCACTGCAGTTCTACTGTAGCATCGACCGCGCTCACTGCCATGTGTGTGCGTCCGTTTTCGTCCCGTCTACAGCAGTGGTACCATTCTTACGTGTTGGCACCAGTCTGTCGCAACTTGTCGGTAAATGCTTGACGCACTAGCCGGGATCACACAAACACGAGGTCAACACCTTGCCCCTGCGGTGCTTGCCTTTGAATTTTTGTCGGGGAGAAGGGTAGGGGTCGAACAGCAGTTGTTCTCCCCCACAGTCTGTGCTCATTCACGTCTACCTGGCATGCGCTTTCCACGTGCAAGTTTTCGCTGCTGAAGGATTCAAAACCGCACTGATCTACATGAAGGGAATCGCAAGGTTACGGAGGGTGTCCAGTTGAACCGCGAGGAGGGGCAATGCCGTGATATATACACTTCGTACCTTGTACTCGAGAATGCCGACCCGCATCGCTCTGAATCGAGGACATCTACGCGGGCTACTCGAATAAGCCTACGTAACTAGACTCGACCCAGGTGTCACTGATTTCCGTACCTACGGTACGTCGATGTCACTCATCCTCTTCGCCGCCAACACGGCAAACCTGTGTAACATCGGCCGAAACGTTGCGTTTTTCGCTGCCGCAGTGGCGCGACGAGACCACAGCGAAAAAATGTCTTCACAGCGCCGTCCACAGAGTGGCGGCGGAGCCTCTGGCGGCCTCGCTCCCCCTCCTCGTCCACGCCCCCGCCTGCTGACAACGGGGGGTCTCAAGGGGTGGCAGTACGGGGTGCTCGTGGTGTCGTGCGTTGGCTCCATGCTAGCGGGCGCGAGCGTCGTCCATAGACTCTTTCCGCCGGACCTGGTGAGAGAGAGGGACAGATAACAGTGACGTTTTTCCCTGGCAAGTAGAGCTTGAACCAAGCCGTGTTTTATTGTTGTGGTTGTGGTTGTTGTCTTCACATTAAAACCGTTCCGTTCTCCTCTCAGAACCTTCTAATATCCGTACTGGTCCATCTGCCTTGAGTAGCGCGGGTATAAAACGATGCGGTAAGTCATGCTGTAATACGAAACGTATACTCGTACAGCGGATGTCACATGATTGACCCGCCCCTGTCGGAACAATGCTCCGTCCTCTCGAGGACGCATGGTCAATGGTCTAGCATGGTCTAACCACTAAGGCATGCAAAACAAAAGAGTAAACGAAAGAGTAACCCCCCCCCCCCATGACGCCCGCCCGTTTTATGCGTTCACAGACTTTGCCGGGCGCGGGCGAGGCAGACCCAGCCGAGAAGCGAAATAAGAACGGCAACATGGGCGAAACGACGCAGCAATAGCATTCGGCGTGGATGTGTCTTTTTTATTATCATCGACCGCGCTAACCGGCTGACCAATGAAAACACGTCAGTCTCAGTACGGTTACAAGCGTGTGTGTGTGGCGGGAGAGAGGGGAAGGTCGATCCCTGATTTTCAATGAAGGGAGGGGCGGGGTGGGGGTTGGCTGTGTATGAGGAGGGTGCGGAGCAAGGATTCCCCTCTTGAGGGTGTAGATAGCTCGGAGCCTCAACAACATGAGTGACGCGCAAATGGGTGGTTGAAAGGGTTACAGCAGCACGGTCCGCGAGTTCGGCTACTGCGTGCACGATATGGGCACCAACTAGACTTGGCGATTCTGCAGGACGCAGTGTTTTCTTTTTTGATTGTCTCTGTTGTAGATAGTATGGAGGAAAAACGCCTCGAATAGGTTTTCTTCGGCGTAAGAAGATCTGGTATGGTGCAAGTCGCAAGACCGCCATTGCTACGCCCGTTTTCATTTGTTGCAAAGATGGCAAGCCAACCCCCTTTGATGTGTACGTCCTAAGCACTTTTTCCCCTGTACTTTAAGCGCAAGCAAGCGTTGACTGTCCGGATGGTGTGCATCAGGGTAGCAGCACACGCTTGAAGCATTTCATATCACGAAAGTATGATTTCCAGAAAAATCGTGGGTGCGACAAGAGGGGCATGCACGTCACCAGCTAAGGTCCAAGCCACAACTAACTTTATATATACAGCCCCCCCTCCTTCATCCTCCTCCCCTTGGCCATCCTTTGAGCGCGCATCCCTCGTACCTAACGGCATGGGTACCCCCCCCCCCCCCCCCCCCCCCCCCCCCCCCCCNCCCCCCCCCGCGCGCACACACACACAAGCGAGAAGGCCGATTGAGAAAGGCCTACATCTCCGTGCGGTAGCGGGCACAACCGCGACACTATTTCTCGACGCGAGTATCCACCTATCTATTCGGTACCTGACCCATTCCTGCGTTGGGGGCGGGGGGTGGGGGGGATCCTCAAACAGTTTTTCTTGTTGCTATCATTTGAGCCCCCTCGTGAACGAAAAATCAGGTCCTCCTGTCGCTATGATCAGTCAACAGCCAGTCTCTCCCCGCCAGAAAGTTCGCTGTACCGACTACTTGACAACAGACACGGTGTTTCCCACGGGTGAGGAAACCACCTACCGAGAAGGACCAAAGAAAACAGCAGAAGAACGCCTTGGAAGACCACCACGCAAGCATCGTCGTGTCCCTTTCTTCTCTCCGCCGGGGCCGGGCGGGGGCACCGTCGATTCGACAACGAGGTCGTCCCCATGACCCCTCCCCCCCCCCCCCNGGGTCAATGTCTAACGACTACGGCATGCACGACTATGAGTACACCCCCCCTCACGCAAAATCTCTCAAATCAACCGAATCGTAGTGCTTCGATCGATCACTCGTCATCCTCCTCCTCTCCTTCCGGCGGGTTGGGGTCGACCAGCACGTCCGACTGCTCGACGAGTCCCTCCTCGTCCTCCCCGGGGGTCCACTCCGGCTGCAGCATCGGCGGCAGGGAGGGCTGGAATGGCCCCTCCCCTCCGAACTTGACACCGTCCCCGGAGTAGACGTTGGTGAAACGCTTACCGAACGCCACGGCGATTGCTCCGGGCCACCTGGCGTAGGTGTCAGATTGGTCGTGACCAATTTGTAGCTACTGCATGAGGATCGTCGCTTTGGTCGTAGAGCAGAGGGGGGGAGCACGAGGCGTGTGCGGTAGAAGTGCTGCTGTTGCAGCGTGGCGCAAGGATCAAGCAGGGATGCCCAACCTGAAACATTGGCGCCAACACAACCGACGAAACCTGTGGCGCCGACGGTAGGCAGTGAACACTTCTCGTTCAGAGGTATGCGAGAAGTGTATCACGACATGCCCCCCCCACACACTTGCTCACCGGAGAGACTTGGCCACGACCATCGCGTTGGCCGATTGCCCTGCTCCCGCAGGGCATGTTCTGAACCCCCACGACCCCTCCGAGTCTTCCGCGAGGGATCGGAGCGGCGCAACCTGCACAAAAGTACATACGCGGGTTGACCGGCCGACCGGTAACTACGTGACGAGTGAATACGTTTGCGCAAGAACGAGCGGAGCGGTTTTCGTCCTCCTCTGAAAGACACCTTAGACGCTGAGTGGAGTGGGGCAGCGTTCTTGAGACGTGGTATGGCTTGTTGAGCTAGCTGGAAGACAGCTATCACTATTTTTCAGGATCATGATACAGATCGGTTTAGAACCTTCCTGAATTTTTGGTGATGACGCCGGTCGGGGACACATGTTTAGCAAGCGGCGAACCCAGAACGGCGCCCCAGAGAACTTCTGTTTTTCTGGCGATCCATCTGAGTGGCGCAACGAGCGCCATACGCGCTAAAGCGTACCATGCCTGCACCGCTTGAATCGACGCCCGTCGACTTCACACGCGTACACTTGTCATACCTCTTCGGGAGGGTCGTCTTCTTCGATAGGGTTGCCCTCATCGTCGAGCTTCTCGGGCATTGGCCGACACCTTTCGGTTGTTGTCGTTGTCGTTGTGGCGGTGGCGATTGTTGTCACGTTGCAAATATTGTCGTCAGTGTTTCCGCAGAGGAGAGAGGAAGATGGGGGATGACGCCATTTCGATAGAGTACGAAGAGTAAGCATCCCAACTAGTAGATTTCTATCCTCAGAAGCCTCCAATGACTGAATGAAAACTGAGCGTTCAGTGACGACTGCCGCAGACTGGACTGAATGGAGGGAGGGGGGGGTGAAGTCCTTGTAAGGAAGGTTCGGAAACCCCGCCTGTACTATAGACTTATGCTCTTGTTCTTTTGTTGAACTTGCCAAGACAGAGTAGACACATTTTCTACTTTCTCTAGCCATGCCTTACTCTTGGTGGTCTCCCGTCCCTTCTTGCTACCCGTGGTACGTGGGTACCGGCGGACAGACGTGAAGGCCCCGGTGTTAGTGGGCTGGGCCACAGTGCTTCAGTGGTGGCAGACTCGAGCGTTCTCGGCGTATCATTTGAGCTCGATTTCGGATTGATCAAACCGCTCATCTGTTTGGGCCCTCTTGACCAGAATCGTGATTGCGGCTGAAGGGAGGATGAAACGCGCAGGTTGCAGAAATGCGCCTGGTAACCCAACGTGGTTTATGGTACCTAGTCTGCAAAGACCAGGAACGACGATGGCCAAAACATCAGCTGCAGCAGCGGCAGCAGCGAATGTACAACATCACGTGTTTGATGGGTTCATAGGAGTCAAAACGTTTTACCTGCCAAGCGTGTTGAGCTCGAATTCGTGGTGCACCCAGCCATCCGTCGTCATGAGCTCCTCCACCGCTTTCGGAAACGCCTCGTTGATCGATTCGTCCTCAGCTACCTTTTTAAACGTCAACATAACAGTTCGTCAGAAGATGGGCGCGTGATTTGAAGGAAGTCATACATGCCTTAAGCTCGCGATGTATCGTTAAAGGGGGACGAGATTAGCATCTACAACCACAATGTATTTTCGAGCAGACTTGTGCCGTGATGTAGTGCGACTGACTGAGTACGTCCCCACTCCCCGGTGCCCTTTTTAATTTTCGAGAGCTCCAGGAACGTCCCTATCCGCAGGCAAAGTTTCAAAGAAAAGCTATAAGTTGTCAAAAGAGAACGCCACTACTACCAACATGATGCCTTCACAGCCACACGCCCTCACCTTAATGATGGCCGGCTCTGCGTCCTCATCAACCTCAAAGAACCCAGCGGGGCTAACGCAAGCTCCGGCAGTGATGCGCGCGATCTGGGCACGCAGAAGGTTGATCTCGCTCCCTGGGAAGGGTGGGTACCCCTGGACGGGCGACTCCAAGTCTCCCGTAAAGTAGCGCTTGATCTGAGGACGTTTTGGATACATCGTGTTATACTTTTACAGGCATGGGTAGCACGAGCAGGCCGACCGTTTTGTTTATCGCATGTGTGTGACTCGTGTTGTAAACCCAACGGGTCAGTTTACCTGCTCGACATCAACAATCTCTGCGTTGTAATTCTGAAGAGTTGCCATGGCTCTGGGCCGTCCCTCCCCCCCCGCCCCAACACACACGAACATGACACTGCGGTGCCGCTGTACCTTGCGAGCGGCCGTGATCTGCGTCTGCGTGACGGGCGGGAGCTCCTTCCACTCCCCGCCGGCGGAGCGCGCCACCCAGTAGGTATAGCGGTTCCCCCCGTCCTTGCCCTCCTGCAAAGCCTCGTCGAACTCTCCCAACGTCTCGTCTAGTGCCTTGCCTTCCACCACGATGTAGTCGTCCCCTCTGGTGGTGACCTTGCCCCAGAACCGCAAGGACTCGTGCTCGCCGGGAAGAGATTCGGCAAGCTGGGATGGCAGCGTCAGAGTGGTGCATTGGGAGGCAGGATTTGGTTTTGGTTCAGAGTTCAAGCGAGGGGGGCAAGTCCGTTCAAAGTTGTAGCCTTTCTTTTCTGAGGTGGGAGTTCTTCGGTGGAGCAAAAGCGTGGCTTGTTTGTAGATGGGTCAATAACTGTGACCGCAAGTTGATTTTTCGGCAGAGACAATGGCGGGCGATTTTACCCCAAAGGCTCCTTGCTCCAGCCCCTATGCATGCTAGAAGGCACAAGAGGTAGCGGTGTTAGTTTGCGCAGGACTTGATGGCACAGGCCCCTGGGAGAAGCACAAGGTGGTCGAAATTCTTTGTCGTGGTGATTTCCCCCATCTCGAAGCAACCAACAATGCACCCGACACTCTCCACGCACATGATGGAAGAACAATGAGGCAACGTCTTTTCAACAACACCCACACCTTTTTTACGGAGAGGTACAAGCGATACGTCTCCAGTCGCCCGAACGACACCCCTCCCCACTCCCACATGTTGGCTTCGTCTAGCATGTCGGGCACCACCGCTCCCCCCTCCGGAGGCTCGTCGGGCACGGTGAAAAGCGCCTGGGTGGTCTGCGCCCACTTGAGCTGCTTCGCCGCGGCCGACTGTTGGCCTATCGGCGGCGTCGTGCTGTCCGGCTTCACCGTGCCCTCCTTGACGGAGGCGCTGAGGTGCTCGAAGACCGCGGACGCATCTGACGGCCTCTCACTCAGCACCTGGATTGAGGGGCCAGATGGGAAGGCCCAGGGGAAAGGGGTCACCAGCGAGCGAGAGAGAGAGAG